AATGATCTGTTGTCTCACTGCACCAGCCCCTCATAAAACCTTTATTCTGGGCCTGTTGCAATAGCCTAGTGGTTAAATCCTCACCTTGCAACCGCCAGCATTCCACATGGGCGCAGCTTTGTATCCCTCCAGCTCCACTTCCCATCCAGCTCCCTGCTTGCCTGGGAAAGCAGTCAAGAACGGCCCAAAGCCTTGGGACCCTTGAGAGACCTGGAAGAAGTTCCTGGCTTCAGATTGGGTCAGCTCCCGCCATTGTGGCCACTTGGAGAATGACCCATTAGACGGAAGATCTTTCTCTGTTTCTCCTTCTCTTTGCAAAGCTGTCTTTCCAATTAAAATAAACGAATCTTAAAACAAGAACAAAAACAAAAAGCTTCGTTCTGGAGACGTGCTGGGGCACAGCGCATGGAGCTGTGACATATGGACCCTGGTTCGAGTCCTGGTTGCTCCAGTCACAGTGCAGCTCCCTGCTCCTGCAGTGGGCAGGCGGTGCAGGACGGCCAAGTGCTCGGTGGGAGACCAGCGGGGGCTCCCAGCTCCCCTCTCCAGCCAGACGCAGGCCACTTGTGGGGAGAGAAGCAATGGGCGCAAGATTCGGCTAACTGCACATCTACACGCGGCCTTCCTTCTGCACAGAACAGACACACGGATGAGCGACCCCACAGGACCTGACACGCGCCTGGCCCGGGCTGGAGGCCCCACACCCATCGCCGCGGCACCAAGGAGGAGACCTCAGAAGGTCACAAAGCCTGCCCACAGCCACACGGACTCTGTCGGATCAGAGGAGCTAGAGCCACGTGGGCTCCTTGAGCTGAGCCAGATCTTTCCAGAAGTGTTTCGAGAGTTGGGGAGGGTGGAAGGAGAGCCACCATGGCACATTAGGCTAAACTTGCACCTTTGTGGGCGCCGGTTCAAGTCCTGGCTGCTCTACTTCCAATCAGCTCCCTGCTTGTGGCCTGGGAAAGCCGTGGAGGGTGGCCCTGAGTCTGGGGACCCTAAACCCGCGTGGGAGACCCGGAAGACGCTCCTAGCTGTGCCCAGTTGTTATGGCTATTTGGGGCGTGAAGCGGCAGGAGGAAGAAAAATCTCTTGTCCTGGTATCTCCGCCTAATCAATACGCCTATAACAAGTGAGTTGCGGCCATTTCAGACACACCGACCAAGGGAGAGGTTGGGGAGGGCCCTGCCACGGGCACAGACCCCTGGCTGGGGCCTGCACACGCCGGGGAGGCCTTGGGCGCCGGCTGCTCCGCGTGCGCTCACTCCGGCACCCAGCACGGCACAAGGCGGCACCCCCCGTGTCCACGCGCGGGGCGCAGGCGGCGTGGGGACGCGGGCGGCCCAGGTTGCGCGCTTTCTCCAGGCCTTACGGTATGCGCGGCGTGCCGGGCAACCACGTGGCGGCGGAGCCCGGGCCGGCGGGAATGTGCGGAATGCGCGCCGCGGCGCAGGGGCCCGCCTCCCGTGCGCGCCCGTCCGGGGCCGCACCTCGGGCCCGCGCCACCGGTCACCTGGGACTCGCTCGGGACAGCGCCAGCCCGGGGACGGAGTGCGGCCCAGGCCGTCTGGGAGGACTCGGGACCCCTACGGGACAGACCCCAGCAGCCTGCGGGGAGGGGTGCAGGCAAAGTTTGTCCCCACTCCTCCGCCTCCGTCGCATACACCTGGATTAAAAGTTACTTTCACTTCACCGCCCGAGAAAGTGTCCGGGGCTCCCCCATAAAGAAGACCCCCGCTCCCTTCTGGCATGACTCCCGGCACAACTGGGGCCTGGCGAGGGGTGCAAAGAATTGCAGAACTTTTTCCGGAGCTGCGCCAGGCGCAGCCGCTCCGGGGCCTCCGGCAAGGGCGGGCGCGCCAGGGGAGCCCTCTGGGGATCGTGGGGCGAGGGCTGCGCCCGCGGCGACCCCCAAACCGCCAGCTTCCCGCGTTGGGGACCCGCGCAGCGGGGAGCGGGGCTGCACGTGGCCCGAGGCCATCACCCCCACTCGGTGCGAGTTCTTGGGGACGCCTCGTGGACGCAAGGCCTTGTGCAGCTCTGGATTCCCCTCCCCCAGCGCCTTCATCCTCGGGGTCCCAGGCCCCCCACCTGCTGGGGACGTCTCTCCCCTCCCCGCGGATTACAAGGCCAGGGGCGGGGTGCTTCGTGGGTGGCTTTAAATGAATTGATCCGAGACGGACACGCACGCGCTCGTCTTGGAGCCGTGGTCGCCGCGTTCCCGGCGCTGACTGTCCCGGGTGGGCCCCGTACCAGAACAAGCCGAGCACCCCCGGGCGCTTTTGCGGGGGAGTCTGGGGGTGGGCGGCAGCAGCACGTGGCTGCCTTGCGAGCGTTGTTGGGGAGCAGGGGAGCCCGAGCGGCCCCCCGGAACTCCAGGCATTCGGAAGCATTTTCCTGGGCGACTCCAGGGTTTAACAATGGGAAACTTGCCGAGCGGGAGGCAAGTCCTTTCAAGTCGCCGCCAGGTATGCGGCTGCAGGTGACCCGACCTGGGAGAGCCCGGCCCGGTGCTCCGGAGGCGGGGAGGGTGGACGCCCGCCGAAGGTCGACCCCGTGGGCCCCGCTGTCCCTCTGCCCCCCACCCCACTGCCAGGCGCGCCCCGCGTCCCGGGCTCCTGAATGAACGCGCGCCCTCCCCCAGCTCCAGGAAGGTTCCCACAGCCAGGGACGGTGGCGAAGGCGCGTCTGCGGCCGCGTGGACCCTCGGGCCGGCCTCCGGGCTGGGGCGCCGAGAGGGGGAGGAGGGCATTTTAAGCAACTTTTTTTTTTTTAATAAGTTTTCTCCGCCGCCAACGTGCTCTCCCTCCCCTCCCTCCGCGCCGTGGGGCCCCCTGATCCTTTGTCTCCAAATGTACGAACACGCAGCAATAAGCGCCCTGAACTCTCAGTTCCTGTTTCGGGGTGGGTTTCATTGAAAAGCGCACACAGTTTAAACAGCACTAAGTTTTTTTTTTTTTCTTTTTTGTTTTTCAAGTTATTTGTAGGAACCTGGCACTCAACGCTTCCCTTTCCACGCATCTTGAAGCAACATGTCCCCCCACCACCAGGGCCACCGTCATCGCCAACACCTCGAGCCCGGCGTCCCGGGCGCCAGGCGCTGCCCGGCGGGGGCTCCATGGGGACGCGGCCCGGGACCCCAGATGCCAGCGCCCCCCGCCCCCGCGTTCCTGGACGGTTCTTCACGCCCGCCGGCCGACTTGCACTTTTGCGCCCGTCCCTGAGCAGGGACCTCGGCGAGCTTCCTCGTTGAGATCTGCCCGCTCCGCCTAGTAACAGCCCGGCGCGGTCATTGGCTCATGCTAATTCCATGGGGCGCGGCGCGGAGAGGTGGCCCCCGCGGGTCCCCGGGTGGGCGCGCCGTTGGCAGCCCCCTCTGCGTCCCCCACCGGCCCCGGCCGCCGCTGCCGTCCCGCCTCGGGCCTGGCCGGGCTGCAGCGCGCGGGCTCGGGCCACCGGAGCCGGCGCGCGCGGCCCCATAAATCACCCCGTCCGGATTTTATGAATGAAAAAGCCGCCGGCCGCCCTCGTGCGCGCGGGCTGATGCTCCAAGACTCGGCGTGCGCGGGACGGGCGAGAGCGTGGGCGCTGCCCGCAGGGGCCACCTTGGTTCCCCAGGCGTGGACACCCTAACTGCGGCTCCCACGAAACGAGGCCGCGGGGCGGGGAGGGGGACGCCCTGATCCCGTTCTCCGGTAGGGGACACTTAGCCGCGACATGCAATCAAGTGTGGGGGAGGGAAGTTGACAGACGTCTTCATTTAGGGAAGAATTTTTTTGAAGCGTCCATTTAGTTGGAAAACAAGCGCCAAATAAGCAGACTCGGTCATGAAAACGCGTTGCGTGGCCTGGGTTGCGGGAGTGGGGCCGCGCGCCTCACCGCAAACCCCTCCGGATTCTGTTTAAACCTCGGATCAATAACCCCCGTCGGCCCGTCTCGGAGTTGTTCTAGCGGCTCCTGGCCACGTCCGCACCGCCCTCCTGAACCCCCACCGACACCAGTTGGGCAGCTTCGGGTGGTCTCGTCCCGGGCGACTAACATCTCCAGCGATCTGTCTTTATTATTTATTTAAAAGGGTGGGTTGGGGGAACGTCCCAGTGCCGCAGCAGACGCGAGCGTGCTCAGCCCGGCGAAGCGGCCAGCACCGGGGCGCGGGGGACCCCCGCGAGCCAGAGCGGCTCCAGGTGGGAGGCCTGCCGGCCTCCATCTTGAGGCGCTGCGTTTAGTTCCCGGGCTGGACTCCCCGCTCCACGTGTACGGTCTGCGCCTGGGGCCCCGGGCCAGGACCCCCGCCCCCCGTGCGCCCGCGCGAAGCCCGCGCTCGCCGCCGACCAGTCTCACACGTGTTCCATGAACATGAAAGGAGGTGCGGGCGCCGAGGCCCCTGGCCAGCCTGTCCCTCCTCGCGCGCGTGGTTGCCCTCGTGGCGCTTTCGGAACCGAGGCCTTGGCGGGGGCCCCCTCTCCACGCGGCGTCCCCGGCTGCTGCGCGCGGCCCGCCACCCCCAACCTCGGGCCCCCGCCCCGCCCCCCGCGCACCCTGCACCCCTCTTCCCCCCGCGGGGTGGAAGGCGGCCGCGGGGCGATTTGCATTTCTATGAAAACCCGAGTCCGGGGGCCGCAGGGCGGCGGGGCGGGCGCGGCGCCTCCGGGCTGGCTTTGGGGCTCGGCCCCTCCTCGCGGCTGCGCGCCCCCTCCCCCCGCGCCCGCCCCCGCCCCGCTCCCATTCTCCGCCCGGCTTTGATCTCTGCTTAACAACAGTAACGTCACACGCACTACAGCGGAGTTTTGTTGAAGTTGCGAAGTCCCGCAGCCTCCAGAGGGCTGGCGGCGCGGCGGCGAGCAGCAGCGGCAGCAGCGGCAGCAGCGGCCACCGCGCGCTCCGGCACCCGAGGCGGGCAGGCGGGCATCCGGCCGAGCCGGAGAGCCAGTGCGGGGCCGCAGCGGCCGCATCCGAGCGCTCAGCCTAGCAGACCCGCAGCCTTGCCCGCGCCGCCCCGCGCCATGGAGCCCCAGCTCCTGTGCTGCGAGGTGGAGGCCGTGCGCCGCGCCTACCCCGACACCAACCTCCTGAGCGACCGGGTGCTGCGCGCCATGCTGAAGGCGGAGGAGACCTGCGCTCCCTCCGTGTCCTACTTCAAGTGCGTGCAGAAGGAGATCCTCCCGTCCATGCGCAAGATCGTGGCCACCTGGATGCTAGAGGTGCGCAGCGTTTCCCGCAGCTCGCCGCCCGCACCCTGCGACCCCCGCCTCCCTCTTACTCAAGTTGCCCGGAATCCGTATTTTCCGAAATAAATAGTTCTGGAGCGAGGAAGGGGAGGAGGGTTGGGGCGTTCAGCCGGCTCCATTGCCAGGGTTGGGGGTTCCCGGGGCAACCCCCGACGGATGAGAGGGCGCCGGTTCGCGTCCCCCCCGTCCCGGCGCCCCGGCCCTGCTGCGCGCGCCTCCTGTCTCGGCTCCCGCAGCCGCCAGCTCGGAGAGGGGGGAGGGGGTCCAGATTTGATTTTTAAATTAATATTCGTGGACACGTATGCAAGCGCTGCTCGTGCCAATATTATGCGCCATCTTTGCTCGTTTATTGCAAAGCAAAAGATGTTTATTAATAATTCAGAGCGGGGTGGGGGTGGGGAGCCGGCCGGCGGGGTGAGGGGCCGCCGGGGCCCTACGGGGAGGAGCCCGCGGAAGCGGCTATTCCGGGTATGGGGCGGGTGGGGGGGTGCAGCTATGGCATGGGGAAGTGGGGGGGGGGACCCTTTATCCCGGCCGCGAACCCCGGGCACCCCCGCGTGGGCGGCTCGGGCCACACAGCTTGTCGGGCTGCAAGGTCGCGTGGCCCCCGGGGCGCACGAAGCAGACCGTCGCCTGCAGGGGTCTCGGGTCCCGGGGTCTGTCCCTGGACGGACCCGGGAGCCTGTTGCTGGTGTCCGGGCCTTCGGCGGGTGCCGGAAGGGCGCGCGAGTCGGTTCCAGTCCCTCTGGAAAGCGCCGCGCGGTGCCCTTGCGCCCTGGGGGGAGGGGGGCCCCTCGAGTTTGAGTTCTTGGGGCGCTCCCTGGGGTCCGTAACGAACTCCTGACTCCCGCATTGGATCAAGGACCGCCCTCGGGTCGTTTTCGGGGTTTTTTTGCGCACCCAGCTATTTTTAAAATATTTTTAAATATTTTTTGAAAAGATGACGTCTGGGTAAATGCGGCGCGGCGGCCTGGGACGCCACCTTTGTGTCTCGCAGGCGCGTCGAGCGCTGCGCCCCGCTCCCGGCCCGCCCCACCACCGCGCCGCCCCGCACCCCAGCGGGGGCCACGGCCGCCAGGCCAGGGGGACCCCCGGACCTCCGGGTCGGGCTGGGGTCCCCGGAGCCCGCTGCCCGCACTCGCGCGTCCGCGCACGCTGCTGCCCGCGCCGTGCCAGCTGCCCACAGGGACTTTCAGTTCCGGGACGGGTGGGTGCGGGGCCGCGAGCGCATCCCGGGAGGCCGCCCCGACCCCTCTGCGTCGCCCCCGCAGGTGTGCGAGGAGCAGAAGTGCGAGGAGGAGGTCTTCCCGCTGGCCATGAACTACCTGGACCGTTTCCTGTCGCTGGAGCCGCTCCGGAAGAGCCGCCTGCAGCTGCTGGGGGCCGCCTGCATGTTGGTGGCCTCCAAGATGAAGGAGACCATCCCGCTGACGGCCGAGAAGCTGTGCGTCTACACCGACAACTCCATCCGGCCCGACGAGCTGCTGGTGAGCGCGACCCCCCAACGCCCCCCGACACTGGCGACCCCCGGGGCCGGGGCTGTGGGGGCATGTGTCCACGGCGGAGAGCCCCGGCTGGCCCGCCACGCCACGGACGGGCCTCCCGCCCCGAGCGAGGGCTGGGTTGGGGGGGTCCTCGCGGGAGCGGGCGCCCCCACCCCCGTCTCTCTGCCCCCACCACGTTTGCGCCCCGAAACCGCGTGGCCCAAAAGTGGGTGGCGCGCTCCCCCTGGCGGCGCGCGCGCCTCGGCGCAGCTCCCCAGGCCTTCTGGTCTTGAGGTGGCCACGGACTTGTCCTACCTGGGGAAGGTCACCTTGTCCCCGCGGCTCCGCCGTGTCCGTGCGGGACCAGCCCCGTCCCCCCACCCCCACGGCGTGGGATGAGGGGGGGACCCTCATGTCCTCTCCCTGCCCTCCCCTCCCTCGTCCCTCAGCAAATGGAGCTGCTGCTGGTGAACAAGCTCAAGTGGAACCTGGCCGCGATGACCCCGCACGATTTCATCGAGCACTTCCTGTCCAAAATGCCCGAGGCGGAGGAGAACAAACAGCTGATCCGCAAACACGCGCAGACCTTCGTCGCCCTGTGTGCCACAGGTGGAGCGACCCTGGCCGGGCTCCTGCACCCCGCCTCCGTCCGGGGCTCCCCCTCTTCCCAGCTTGGTTAGGGGGAGGCGGGCTCCAGCCACATCGGCACCCCCTGCACAGTCTGGGAGGGCGGGAGGGGCAGCGTGTCCACCGTGCCAAGCCCGCCCTGCCTGACCACTGCTGTCGCCCCCGGCCACCCCCACTCCCTTCCCGTGTCCTCCAGGAGCCTGGCCTGTGGGGCCTCTCCCCAGCTGGGCCACCTGCCAGGGGCGGGGAGAGCAGCCGGCAGCCGCTGCGGGGGCGGTCAGCCAAGGCTGGGCCGCTGGAGGCCAGGATGGGGGACTGCAGGCTGCAGCACTGGAGCTGCCCTGAGCCCGGGCGCTGCCTGCCTCCATCTCGCCCCTGTGGTCCACCTCCCCCTGGCCACACCTGCCTGAGCTGTGCCCTCGTTTCCCTGGAAGGCCAGGGGTGCTGGGGGCAGCCAAGGTGGCCTATTGCGTGGCCGGGGAGGGGAGCCCCTCCCCCCTGCTGGGCAGCGGGCAGGCAGGGAGCCCTTGGCTGGCGCTGGCTCCTGGAGAGACGCCTCCCCGGCTGCAGGCACCCTTTTATGGAACTGAGGGTGGAAGACCAGCTCCCGCTCGGCCGCCGTGCCTCTGGGAGACACTGGCGGGCAAGGGGCCAGCGGTGGTGCCCCAGCTTGTGTTGAGTGCATTTGAGACTGGGGGTCCCCGTACGGCACCCCCTGCTCACACACTCCCTCTGCCATTACAGATGTCAAGTTCATCTCCAGCCCACCTTCCATGGTGGCGGCTGGCAGCGTGGTGGCTGCCGTGCAGGGTCTGCACCTGGGGACCCCCAACAGCTTCCTGTCCTGTTACCGCCTGACCCGCTTCCTGTCTCGAATGATCAAGTGTGACCCGGTGAGTGGCCGCCCCTGGCCAACGCCACCCACCCCCTTCACCAGTAAGAGCTGGAAGGAGCTGACAGGGGAGCTGGGGTGCCCCTTGTCCCCACTCAGCTTCAGCCCCCAGGGGTGCTATGCAGCACCTAAACCAGTCTTCAGCTAGCCGGCCTGGGGTGCAGCAGGGCCTTGGGCTGCTCCCTGCCTCCTGTCGCCTGCTGACCCCCCGCCCCGCCCCGCGTCCCCCCAGGACTGCCTCCGGGCCTGCCAGGAGCAGATCGAAGCCCTGTTGGAGGCCAGCCTGCGCCACGCACAGCAGAACCTGGACCCCAAGGTGGCCGAGGAGGAAGAGGAGGTGGTAGAGGAGGCCGACCTGGCCTGCACGCCCACGGATGTGCGAGACGTGGACGTCTGAGGGCGCTGCCGTCCCTCCCGGGGGACGCTGCGTGGCCGCGGCCTCCTCCGGGCAGGCGTGTCGTCCCATCCCTGGTTCTTTTCTTCCTTCCGTCTCTGACTTAAGCGAAAGAAAAAGCGGACTTGAAAACTGTCTTATAAAGAGAGAGAGATAGCAAAATGCTGACGCAATAGACGCTCTCCTGCCCCGTAATCAGCTAGTTTCCATATTAAGTGCTTGTGTCTGTCGTACAAATAGGCATTAACGTGATGCCAGAGGCTCCAGCCGGACTAGATAGGGGGAAAAAAAGCATAAAAATATTACACAAAATATATATATATACAGGAAAAAAAAAAAAAACAACCAGCCAGCCGCCTGGAACGTTAGAACTCAGCAGACACACGTCCCTCCTAAACGGAGCCACTTTAAGAGTTGTGTGTGCGGTGTCTCCCGCGTGGATGGTGGCCTGCCCACGGCCCCACCCCCGTGGCCACAGCTAGGCCAGATCCACGGCTGGTTTTTTTGTAGCTCTTTTTTTTTTTTTTTGTCATTGTTTTTCTTCTCGATGTTCTAGAACCATTCCATTTCAAGGCACTTTTCGGTCCAGTAGTGACACTTGGGGTAGCACTGTCCATGTTGGGTGTGCGTGTGTGTGTGTGTGTGTGGAGGGGATCCATTTGTTTCTGGTGGGATGGTTGGGGCAAGCGAGCCGGCTGTTGGTACGTGCACGTCGCTCAAGGGGACACGGTCAGCCGGGAACGGGGGCAGCGCAGCTGGCGTTCCCCAGGAGGGACCTGGGTGGGGCGAGGGCAGGTGGCTACCTTCACCTGCTCTTCAGTGGAAGGGTTTTTTTGGTTTTGATTTAAAAAAAAACACTAAAGTCTGTAATTTATAGTTCAAGTTACCAGGAATATTTATTTCGGAGGATGTCGCAAGGCCAGTATGGTTTTCCAAAGCCACGCAGTCCCCTGGATCGGGTGCCGTGGAGGAAGGACACACCCTTGGAGAGGCTGGGGCCGACGGGCGTGCTGGAGGGCCAGTGTGTGGTGTGCGCCCCTTTGGAAGCACGTTAGCCCCTTCCGTGTCTTGGCAGTTTGTGTCAAGGAAGGTGGCATGCAGGAGCCCTGAGAGCAGGGCGGTGAGGGAGTCCCCCCCAGGGCAGGCCAGGCAGGGGCACAGGGAAGCAACCATGGCTCTTCTGTCTTTCATGTTGCTGCTATTGTATCAGGATTGGATTTGTGTGTGTGTGTGTGTGTGTGTCTGACAACGTCACATATACTGCCGTGTTCTAGTCCGAATTTTCTCATAGATGATTGGGGGTGGGGTGGGTTTTTTTTTCTTTTTATGTGATCAATTCTGATTTAATGTGATTTACTGCTCTGTTCCAAAAAAAAAAAAAAAAGCAAAAAACAAACAAAAAAACACCAAGATTAGTATTTCACATACCTCATGCATTACTTAGCCATGTATAGACCGACTCTGTGCCCCATCTGCTTTGCAAGCAGGCCCCTGCCCGGCGCCCTTGCGTGATCCCCCGGGGTCGGGCGCCCGCACGCTCCCACGCCTGTTGGTCAGCTGGACTCCTGTGGGGTCTGGGATGTGTCTGCGTGATCCTGATCGCTGTTGTAACGTGTACATGTGGGCATGCGCACGCCCAGGTCACCACCCGGTCAGCACCGAGTGTGAAGGCTCCACCCCGCCGAGGACGGGCACAGGTGTGCGGGTCCCAAGGTGGGTGTTGGGCAGGTGGGATCCGTGCCACCATCCCGTGTTTCCATCAGAAAAAAAAATTAAAGATGACCATGAAAAAGTCTAGAAATAAAATTGGTGAAACCCCACTGTGCCGTCCTGCTTCCTGCCACGGGGAAGGGCGGGTGTACGGGTCACTGGCCTTTGGGTGCCACACGGGCTGGCGTTGGTGCCCATTCTGCTGGGCAGGACTGTCTCCAGCCACTTCTGCCCTCTGCTTGTTTGTCCAGCTCAAAAACCAACATGGTCGGGCATTCATTCCCCCTCTGCTGGCGTGAGCCGCTATTTGCCCTGGGTGGGAGGGCATGACGGGCCACCACCAGGGGAGGGTCAGCTGTCCCCGCAGCTGCACGGGGCCCTTACCTTGCAGGACGGTCACTCTGGGGCGCCTGGCCTCCATGGTCAGGGGTCTTTTCTCTGAGGTTGGGGTGGGGTTCTAGGGCCGTTTCCACCTTGGAAAGCACAATGGGGTGTCCTCTGGTCACTTGAGGGGCAGTGAGCCAACGGTACCATGTGGGACACTGGAGTCCCAGCTGTGGGGTCAGAGGCCAGGGTGTGGGAGAGCCGTGCGCAGGTCCTGGCGGTCAGAACCTGCACAGTGTGCAGCGTGTTCCAGCGTCAGTGGGGCCTGGGCAGGTCGTACGTGTAGCTGCTCAGCAGGGTAGGACACGCGTGGACATGCAGAAGGGAGTGGACGGCAGAAGTGAGAGAGAAGGCCCTTCACGGCCCCAGGTTGGGGGATACCAAGTCCCCCTGGGTAACCGGGACCAGCTCTTATGGGGCTCTGCCCATGGCTGGGCATTGGGACACAAGATGTCACCCGCCACCCTTGGAGCCGCAGCTCAGCCATTTCAGGTGCCTGCTGGGACACTGGGACATGTGGCTTGGTCCCTCCACAGGGTAGCAATGAAAGGGGACCCGGTGGCCCCTGGGGGACTTCAGACACAGAGCGGCTCCCCACACGGCCCCATCCACTCCTACCCTCTGTCTCTTCTGGGTGCTGTCCGGGTCCCCACCAACCCCACGTGGCCGACCCACGGCACCCCAGTGCTTCTTGCCTGTGCTGTGTCTCCTCTGGGAAGCCCGTGGATTGTTCTCTGCCACCCCTCCTGTCCATGTTGGCAGGTGGTGGGTGCTGACAGGCAGGGGCCCAGCAGAAGGGGCTGTGTGCCACTTCCCCCAGCCAGCTGCACTTGCTTGACCTGGGCACATAGGGTGGGGGGGTGGGGAGGGCATGGGGGCAAAGCGAAGGGCAGTGTCCCTTGGAATGGGAGAGGCCCCGGGCGGAGACTCAGAGCCGCCCTGCCTCCTTCAAGGCGCCCTGGCTGCAGGGTCCCAATCTGGCCACCAGAGTCGGCGGGGTGGGGGGTGAGGACCTGGCCTGGATGCTTGCTGGGGTCAGCTGGCCATTGGGGTCTGCACACGGTGAGGCGAGACCAGCGTTGAGTGTGCGTGCCTAGCCGGCCCTGCCCCCTTGCCGGGCTCAGTTATCCCAGGAATGCCTTTGATCCCGAGTGGATGCGGAGGGGGAGGAGGGAGCCAGCCCAGGACCTCTAATCCGTTCCCACAGCCCCCTGGCCCGCTGGCGGAGGGGGAGGGGGCAGCACCCCTCCCCCACACCCGCAGACACCACCCCTCCTCCCCACCCACCACCGGCTTTTCCTTTGGCCCCTGGTCAGCAGGGCCCTCCCAGCAGGTGGGCAAGGAGTGCTGGGCTTCAAGTCCACCAGGGCAGGTAGTGGGGAGCTAGTGGGCCATGGCGCCAGGCCCTGTCCTCCAGGCCTCCCTGCCCTCGCCTGCACAGCCTTGCTGTCAGCTGCTGTCCCCCATTGTGCACGACACAGCAAACCAGACGGGAAGCTGGACCGTGCAGCCGCCTAACCCACCGCCCCACTGCACTGGGGCAATGCTCGTTTTGCTTTGTTAAATCCACACAGCTTTTTCTCTAAAAAAAATGTGAAAGTCACCGTTGCAGAGACAGAGGGAACCTTCCATCCACTGGTTTCACTCCATGTGGTCGTAATTCCCGGAGCTGGGCCAGACTGGAGCCAGGAGCTTCTGCCTGGGTCTCCGATGTGGCTAGCAGCGGCCCGAGGCCTTGGGCCATCCTTGGCTGCTTTTCCCATGCACATGAGCAGAGAGCTGGCAAAGAAGAGGAGCAGCCAGGACGTGACCTGGCACTCATGTGGAATGCTGGCGCTGCAGAAAGCGGCTTAGCCCGCTGTGCCGCAGTGCCAGCTCTCATGCGGTCTCCTTGGTGTTATGAAGGCTGATGCCCAGGACACACCCTCCTCCCACCATCGGCCTGCAGGTCGGCTGGATGGCAAGTCAGGAGCCCTGGGTGGTGGCCCTGGTGGCCCGCAGGCCGTCCCCAGCTACTTCCTGGGGTTCCTGGGCATTGCCTGGCCTCCAGGCTGCGCTGCCTGGCGCAGGACAGCTCTAAAGCTGGGAGAACAATGCTGTGTCTTCAGGGGGTTACATGCTGCCTGCCAGGCCCCTGGACACTGACCACCCCACGTCACGGAGGGGACGCGGAGCCACCCCAGGCCTCTGGACACTGGGCATCCCCACGTCACGGAGGGCACGCGGAGCCACCCCAGAACCCCAGGTCATGGAGCACCAATGCATGCCATAAAGTTCCCACACACGTGGCCAGCAGCACTGGTGGGGGCGGAGCCCAGGGGAGGGGGTGAGCTGAGCCCACCCTGGAAGGCAGGGAGGACAGTGGGAGCAGGGCTAGGCCAATTCCTAGTATTCCTAGCACCCGCTGCTCGGTGGCGGCCCATGTCTACCACGTGGGCATCTGGGAAGGCAGCCCAGAGGGATGGCTAGGGCCCGTCTCCCAGTTCCCAAGGGGTTCTCTGCCAAACCATCATAGACCAAGCACCTGGAAGCAAGGGAGGTACCATCCTGCACTGCCCTGTGAGATGAGAGTGTGCCGAGTCCTGCTCGCAAGGTACGGGCAGACCTCACTGCACCACGCTCCCACACCGCTCCCGGCCCCTCCCGGCCCCAGCTCCTCCTCTGTCACACTGCGCACTGATACATTCCCAATCCCCCATAGTCACGTTCATGGCCAAACCTACCAGGAGCCTGCCTGGGACTGCAGGTGCACGCCCACTCGGGACCGGGTGGCGAGGCGTTATAAGGCACTACCGTGCATGGCGCGGCCTGGAAGTGCAGTGAGGCCGAGCTGGGCAGGAACTACGTGGCCACGGTCTTCATGACTGGCTGCTGGGATAGGTCAGCCAGGCCCTTGATCACCCAGCCACCCCTGTCATCATGTCGGTGCTTCTGGGCCTGGGCCCTCACCTACAGGCAGGGGCATCCCAGAGCCCCAGGCAAGCACAGGTTTATCAGGGACTCAGGCCACCTCGGGAGGCAAGCTTGCTTGTCAGTGACGGCCAACGACAGCCATGCAGTGAGGTCAGGGCCAGGGGGGTTAGGACAGCTCGCAAGCCCTCGTGCCCGCTTCTCATGGCTTGATTCCCCAGGGACAGTTTGTTTTTCTAATAATGAATTTATAATATTCTTGATGATGTTCACATAGTTAATAAGGATGTATGCCCGTGTGGACACCGATCAGCGTGGGGAGGGTCGAGGAATGGGGAGAATGGATGAGAAAATTGTTTCTAATCTCCTTTTTTCTTCCTGTATCTTGAGAAAGTGGGAAGAGAATGGGAGAGGGCCGCTTGCAGCAGCCCAACCACACCAGCACCTGGGATGGGGGACAGCCACCTGATGTCATCCCAGGGTCCCCCATGTGGAGCATGCTCTGAGGGTTCTGCCCAAGTGGTTTCAATAGTTCTGACATGCTGTCGATCTCACTGAACCAAGGATGAGGAAACCCTTCCAAGGTCCGTCAGCTGACATGGACCACCTGAGAGTCTCCGCTCACCCAGATACTCACTGTCTAAGCTCGGCCAGCAGAGCTGTCCAGTTTGTTCTGCCCTTCATGGCGCTAGACATCCTCTTTAGGCCTCAATGAGCTGGTTGGCATGTCCCCCTTGAGCATCTGGGCATTCCGCCCACTGCACAAGCTTCAACAAACGTGGAGACCCAGTTCTGCCACAGGCACTCCACGGTCAGATTTTCCCTGATGTTGGAAATCTGAGTCTAGTGGACCAGTTGGGGTCTCCAAAGAAACCTCACCAGAGGTGACCCCAGACCTGATTCCTGTGTGTGCCAGCCAATGTGGGGTCTGGCTCAGTCTGTCACCTGTAGGCCCCGGTCTCCCAAGGGTTAACTCCACAGCTTAACTTCTTTATCAAGGTGTAACAGAATGGGCAATCATGGCCTGATGGCTTGACTGCAATCTCCTTCCTTCCTGCTTCCCCTTGTTGCATGTCCTTGGGGGAGCTTAGGTGTGGCTTAGCAATCTCCCTCCTTCTTGCTTCCCCTTGTTGCATGTCCTTGGGGGAGCTTAGGTGTGGCTTAACCATTGGGAGGATCCTGGGAGGGTCCAAGCAGACTATAAAAGATGCAGCTTAACTTCAAATAAACGGCATTCGGCATTCTCCCCGCACGAATGACCCACTGTGTCTGTGTGTTGTCTGTCTTGTCTGTCTCATAACCCTAGTCCCTCCGCTCGACTTGGAGCTCGGGGTACGTGGCGACGCGGGCGTTGCCAACAGTCACCCACATCAGCCTGCACACACTGGTGGTTGTAGTCGCCCAGTCAGTTCTGACCCCAGCCCCATCTCATACATTAACCAAGGGATGCTGCAGCCCAGCCCAGTCCTGCCCACCACACTCTTGCCCCGCGCACACACCAGCGGGAACTGCACCCTAGTCCTGCTTCCAGTCCTGGTTCCTGTCCACCCCCCCCCCCATCCCAATTGACTCCCATACACATCAATGGGTGCTGGAGCCCAGCTCAGCCTGACCAACCTCACCAGCCTGCCCAGGCTCATGTCGGCAGGTGCCACTGCCTGTCCAGCCAGGCCTGCCCCCAGCACTGGCTCCCATGCTCACCAGTGAGAGCTGCAGAGGGGCGCCCACAGTCTCTCTACTGGACCCCACTACTCTCAGCCCTGGATCTTGCACTTTCCAGGTGGTTCTGTGGTCTAGCCTGACAGGACTTGCCTCCCAGTCCCAGTGCTTGCCAGCCCATGCTGCAGCAAAGGCCGACCAGCCTGCACTTGCTCTGGCTCATGCGTGCATCAGTGGGTATGGTTGCTTAGTCCAGCGTGGCTCTCCCTCTAACCCAGCTCACATGCAGGCCAGCAGGTTTTGTAGCCACGTCCAGCCTGGTCTGCTCCCAGACACAGCTCTCACACTCACCAGGAGGAGCAATACTCAATGGGGAGTCCTCGCAGCCCACCTAACAGGCTGGCCCCCTTCCCCACCCTGCCTTACATGTGCTGGTGGACGCTGCGGTACAGTCCAGCATGTCTTTTGTCTCACCGCAGCCTGGCGCGGCCAGCCCCCAGTCCTGATCCACATACACGCAGAGGGTACTGTAACCTGGCCTGGTCTGGGCTGCTCCCAGCCTTGGTTCTTGTGCTCACCCGCAGGGACTGCATCCTGGCAGAGGAGTTCGCCAAGCTCCTCTGTCAGGTCACCTCTGTCACAGACCTCACGCATACTGGTAGGTTCTTGGCCCAACCTGACTGGCCCCACCTCCTGTCCTGGCAGGTACAGTGGCCTTGCCTGACCAGCCCACACTGATCCCAGTTCTTACCGTTGGGGGCTACAGCCCAGCTCTGCCCGGTCTACCCCCAGACCCAGCTCTCACATGATTCAGTGGGTGCTGAGACCTAGTCCAGCCTGTCCTATGCCTGTCCTGACTCCTGTGAGCACCAGTGGGTGCTGGAGCCTAGCTCAGTCTAGCACACCCCGGACAGCCCACACCCATGCCGAGGGATGCTACAGCCATGTCCAGCCCAGTTTGCGCCCCCATTTCAGCTCTTGTGCTGACCAGCTGGGGGGGTTTCCTTAGCTCCCCTGTCAGACCCACTCCCAACAAAGCATCTTTCATATGCTGGCAGTTGCTCAAATCCAGCCTGCCTCGGCCTTTGCCATCGGATGCCGCATTCTGGCCTGCCCTGGCCCACCCCGTCCCAACTCTCGCTGGTGGGTGCTGCAGCCTAGCCTGCCCAGCCTGCTCCCATCCCTGGCTTTTATGCAGACCAGTTGGTGTGACAGCTTAGCGTAGCCTGGCATGGCCCACACCCCATCCTGGCTCCTGTGTGTGCCAGTGTGCTATGGTCTGGCCCAGCCCTGCCTGATCCACACCCAGCTGACTCAGATGCTTACCAGCAGGAACGATGGCCCACCAGGGGCATTCCACAAGTTCGCCTACCAGCCTATTCCCAGACCAAGATCTCACGCACACCAGCAGGTGTTAGGCCCTTACCTGGCACGGTCCGTCCAACCTCTGCCTGTGTGTGTGCTGGTGGAGTTTGCGGCTTGGCCCACCCCACACCCAGTTCTTGGGTGTGCCTGTGGGTGCTGCAGCCTGGACCAGCCTGGCCTGTTCTCGACCCTAGCACCATGAGTGTTGATGAGTTCCATGCCCATGCCCAGCTCAGCCCTTCACCACCCAGCTCTCAAGCGAACCAGCTGGTATGGCAGTCCCACAGGGGTGAGCCCACAGTCCCCCACAGAATCTGCTCCCAGACCCAGCTCTCACATGCTGGTGTCATGTTCCAGCCTGCCACGGTCCACCCCCTGCCGACGCTGCGGGTACGGTGGTCGAGCCCCACCAGGCAGGCCCCCCAGCCATGGCTTTTGTATCAGTTAATGGTGGCAAATACCAACAAGTCAGCTCAGGTCCCCCCATGGGTGAGTGCATTGGTCTGACCCTCCTCACCTGCAAGTGCAGTGTCTTGGTGGTGGAGGTCTCCCACGAGTCACGTCCTCCCCCTCACACATGCCCAGATCTGCTTCTCCAAGCAACCCGCAGCCCCCGCCGCCAGTGAGCATGCAGACCCCCAGGTCTGCTCCTCCAGTGGTGTGTCGTGGCACCCTAGGGCCCTGCCTGCCTGCCTGGGTCCCATCCACACTTGGGCGCGGGCCAATTCTACTGGCAGGCTGGTATAGTTAACACACATCTGGTATTAACCAGGTCCAGGATGCCCTCCAGCTGCCAGCTGCTTTTCTCTCGGAAGCGTGACACGTGCCTGGGATGCAGTGTATACAGCTGCCTACAGCCGGGTCCTGTCAGAGACGCCCGGGGTGTGGGGACAGCAGGACTGCAGCCTGAGCCTGGCCATTCACTGTGACCGCTGCTGGCATGTCCCTCTGCTGGACCCACGTCACCCTCGGTGGTGAGAGAGACGGCCCCACCTCACAATCGGGGGCCTCTCCCACCCTCCTTCCTCCACCCACCGTGGGGAGGCGCCGCCCGCCCTGAGGCATGGGACAGCTCTGTGTGTCCCAGGTGGCAGCTTCGCCAGGCCAGCTGCTACAGGACACCCCAATCCCGTGCTCATGCCTCGGGGTATAGGGGGAGCTCACGGGGACCTCACAAGCAGAGATGAAACCCCACGCGCAGCACGGCCCTCTGTAAGCCAGAGAGGGCTTGAGAGGCCCAGGCCTCGGTCATCAGGACCAGGCCAGCTCGCACGCACACAGCACAGCAGGGATGTGGGAGCCCTCGGGCCCGCTCTGCCACACGCAGGTGCAGGTACGGCTTCACCCAGATACCAGGGGCCCAGGGGCCGTGTCTGTGTGGGCAGCACCCACAGGTGCCGTAAGCCAGGAGGCCGCCTTGGTACCCCAGGGTAGGAGAGGCTGAGAGAGAACAAGGCTCACCACCCGACACAGAGGGACCCACCCAGCACAGGAAGCCCATCAGCCTGACCGTGGACAGGGACATGACGGGGAGTCCAGCATTCAGAACCAGCCCCAGCAGCCTGGGGTAACAACGCAGCAAGTGGGGTGTGCTCCCAGACGAGCCGGAGCTGTGGCACAGCACAGTAAGCTGTGAATGGTGGTTTGGGTCTCGGCTGCTCCACTTCCCATCCAGCTCCCTGCTAACGTGCCTGGGAAGGCAGTGGAGGCTGGCCCAGGTGCTGGGGCCCCTTCCTCGCGTGGGAGACCAGCATGGAGCTTCAGCCCCTGGCAGCAGCCCGGAGCAGCCCAGCTGTCGGTCACTGGGGAGGGAAGGAACCAACAGATGGGAGACGGATCGCTATTCCATCACTGTTTCAAGTAAACACATCTTTTAAAAAAAGATCCCAGACGGTTTTTGCTTTAAAATATGCTGGTTTTTCTCCATTTTCCAAACTAACACATTATCCAAGCAGGTGACCGAGACAACACGAGCGGTGGGGTGGCCCAGCACCCCTGGCGTCCTCAGGGCTGGGGCAGCGGGACGGGGGACCGAGTCACAGTGGCCCCGGGAAGATGCAGGGCCGGCCGCCTGCTCTCCGGGCCGCCAAGTGGGTACCTTCCCTGCCCTATAGGCACTTCGGACTTGCCTCGGCCCTCACTGGGGGTGCAGGGACCCCAGCACTTGCCCTCCCTGTGGCTGCTCCGTGTATAGCAACAGAGGCCGGAGCGCCCCCTGGGGGCCGAGCGCCGCAGAGCGCAGGGCCTGACCTCACCCCAGCAGCCAAGCTCCATGCACCACGCAGCCAGGCTGGCTCGCTGGGGCACAGGCCGGCCTCTTCCCTCGGCTACAGGCGCCACCGCGCAGCCCACGGAGGACAACGCCACTAGCTCCTCAGGACCCAGAGCCCAGGCCCAGGACAGCTCCCGCCAGAGCAGCCCACCGTGCCCAGTCGAGCGGGCGGTGGGCAGACAGGCGGGCAGCACGCAGTGTGCAGGGGGTGCCTCGGACGTGGCAGACGGGGGCAACAAAGGGCTGGCCTGTGTAAGGAGGCCCGGGGGACAGCCAGTCTCGGGAGAAGAGGGCCCTTTCATGGGCCAAGCTGGAACCCGCCCCTACAGGACAATGAATGCCCCCGTATTGTTTCGCCTTTAATCACGTTTTTAAGCACTTAACATATGGACATCTGCTTCCTCGTGTCCTGCCTTTGTTCTTCTGTCATCCTCAAAAGGAAAGTCCAGAACCTTCCGTGGGCATTTTAAAGTCCGGCTGCACGTTGAGCAGTGAGCAGAGCTGGAGGCGAGACAAAAGGGAGAGGCTTTCACTCCCACGCGATTCCTCCCACGGTCCATCAGGCCTTGTTCTGGCCACCTCGTCCAGCCAGGTGTGAGGCCTGAAACGTGCTGTCCCCACCGTCCAGGGTCCCCCACAGGCTGCCAGTCCCTCCTGCCACAGCCAGCCGACCAGCGGGCACACACCTGTTGTCCCCACCGTCCAGGCTCCCCCACGGGCTGCCAGTCCCTGCTACCATGGCCAGCTGACCAGCGGGCACACACCTGCTGTCCCCACCGTCCAGGCTCCCCCACGGGCTGCCGGTCCCTCCTGCTACAGCCAGCCAACCAGCGGCCACACAGCCAGCTGACCAGCAGGCACACACCTCCTGACCAGCGGGCACACACCTGCTGACCAGCGGGCACACACCTGCTGACCAGCGGGCACACACCTGTTGACCAGCGGGCACACACCTGCTGACCAGCGGGCACACACCTGTTGACCAGCGGGCACACACCTGCCTGAATTTGCCCCGGATCCTGTTCAGGTCCTCATGCAGCCGCTCGTAGGTGGGGTCGTCGTAGGGAAAGCTCCGGATCAGCCCGATCAGGGACTCCAGCACCTTGACCTTCCTGCTGCGGAGCAGAGACCCCGCGCTCAGCTTCTCCCCCTCGACGGGCTGGAGGCGGACACGAGGCCAGCAGGGGCACCAAGGCCGTCTGCTCCCAGGCCGCCAGCCGATTCCCTGTGACATGAAACCGTGTTCACACGCTCCGGCAACACGCTTCGCCACACCCTGCACCCTGACAGCGGCTGGCTAACTTGCCAAGGCCACTTCATCCCTTGCCAGGTTGACCAACCGCCTTGCACATCCCGCGGTGGCCGATGGAAGCGGTGTGGGACAGAAGCAGCAGGCAGAGCACACCTGAGCCCTCAGCGGGGATGGTCCAGGATCCGGACCCTGGGCCCAGGGCTCTGGGAGTGTAAGCGCAGGCGGGAAGCCCCACTTCCAGAGCAAACTCCGTCTGTCTCCAGGCTCCGGGCTCAGCACCCCCCAAAGAGGCTGAGGCTGTGCTGGGCAGGCCTGCCCAGGCTCTAAAGACGGGGCACCCAGCACAGCCCACACTTTCTGGGACCCCCACGTCTCCCTCAGCAGAACGGGCAGCCTGCAGCTCCACACACCCGCTCGCTGTGGGTCAGGAGATCAGAGCTCTCCCACGCGGTGGGGCGGTGCACCTGCAGGGCAGCCCTCCCAGCCCACAGCCGGCAGCCGGGGGCAGGATGCCGGGAGCTTGGTTAAGAACCAAGCCCAGGGCCCGGCGCGGTGGCGCAAGTGGTTAAAGGTCCTCGCTTTGCACGCCCGGGATCCCATGTGGGCGCCGGTTCTAATCCCGGCAGCCCCGCTTCCCTTCCAGCTCCCTGCCTGTGGCCTGGGAAAGCAGTCGAGGACGGCCCAAGGCTTTGGGAACCTGCACCCGCGTGGGAGACCCAGAAGAGGCTCCTGGCTTCGGATCGGCATAGTATCGGCCCGTTGCGCTCACTTGGGGAGTGAATCATCGGATGGAAGATCTTCCTCTCTGTCTGTCTCTCCTCTCTGTATATCCGCCTTTCCAATAAAAAAATAATAAAAATAAATCTTAAAAAAAAAAAAAAAAGAACCAAGCCCAGGCCCGGCGTGGTAGCCTAGTGGCTAAAGTCCTCTCCTTCCACGTGCTGGGATCCCATATGCACACTGGTTCATGTGCCAGCTGCTCCACTTCCCATCCAGCTCCCTGCTTGCGGCCTGGGAAAGCAGTCGAGGACGGCCCAAAGCCTTGGGACCCTGCACCCACGTGGGAGACCTGGAGGAGGTTCCTGGATCCTGGCTTTGGGTCAGCACAGCACTGGCCATTGTGGTCACTTGGGGAGTGAATCATCGGACGGAAGATCTTCCTCTCTGTCTCTCCTTTCTGTAAATCTGACTTTCCAATAAAAACTAAAATGCAAAAGAACCAACCCTAAGGTGAACCAAGCACAGCAACATGACCTCATGTGCACACGTTACTAACTGGGTTCTTTCTTTTTTTAACTTGTTTTCTTTCTTTTTGAAAACATACTTATTTGAAAGGCATAATTAGTTTCCACCTGCTGGTTCACTCTTCAAATGGGTCAGACCGAAGCCAGGAACTTCATCCAAGTCTCCCACGTGGGTGCAGGGGCCCAAAGAATTGGGCCGCCCTCCGCTGCCTTCCCACAGCTGGATGGGAAGTGGAGCAGCCGGGACTCGAACTAGTGCCTACGTGGGATGCAGCAGCCACCATGTCCACCATGCCCTAACGGGGTTTCTATGTTCAAGTCCACACTGCGGCACAGAGGCCCGGTGCCCCTCAGACACCGCTTTGTGACCCACTTCCGACCCAGCTCCATGCTCATGGCCTGGGAAAGCAGTGGAGGACAGAGCCCAAGCCTGGGTCCCTGACACCCAAACGAGACCGTCGGCCCAGCCCTGATCACTATGGCCACCTGGGGAGTGAACCAGCAGATGTAAGCTCTCTGCCATTCTGCCTTCCCATAAATACACAATAAAGAACTACAGTAGGGCCCGGAGCAATAGCCTAGTGGTTAAAGTGACCACAACAGCCGGTACTGAGCCAATCCGAAGGCAGGAGCCCAGACCCTCTTCCGGGTCTCCCACACAGGTGCACGGTTCCAAGGCTTTGGGCCGTCCTCAACTGCTTTCCCAGGCCGCAAGCAGGGAGCTGGATGGGAAGTGGAGCCACCGGGATTAGAACCGGGGTCTATATGGGATCCCGACACATTCAAGGCAAGGGCTTTAGTTACCAGGCCACGGCGCCAGGCCCAAAGTGAGTTTCGCAAGGCAGCAGAGCTCAGGTCTGCAGGGATTCACCCCGGCCAGATGCTGCCCTGGACACACACGGCCAGGGCCACGGTCCAGGCTGCTGGTGGAGTGCAGCAAAGGCGACGGCTCTACAGCCTGCTGCCCACCCCTGCCCATCCTGGGCTGCAGCACCTTGCCACATCTGCCAGCCGCAGCGGGCGGCACCTTCCCTCTGGGAGCCCACTCTGTGAACCTGGTGTGGAACTGAGGCTCCCGCGTGCCCCGCCACCCAGATGGCAGCAGCTGCCCCCATCGCCCTCATCTGGAGACAACCTTCCACAAAGGACTGTGTCACTCCTGAAGGGCAGAGAGGGAGACGGGGAGAGAGAAAGACGGGGAGAGACGGGGAGAGGGAGAGAGTCTCCCACTTGGCTCACTCCCCAAGGGGCTGTGACTAGCCGGCTAACCCAGACAGCAGCCAGGAGTCTGTGGTGTCACCCAGGCTCCCGCTGGGTAGCAGCGCCCAGCACCTACGCCTGCACCTGCTGAACAGGAAGCTGGTCCAGAAGGCTGCCAGGACTGGATCACGCTCTGCTTTGGAACGCCGGCACCTCAAGGAGCAGCTTAACGCACTGTGCCACAAGGCTGGTCTCTGCACTAACCACACCGACTCAGACAAACATGGACGGTCAGGAGGCCCTGGGTTCTGAAGACACCCCAGGTACTGCTGGCTTTGGTGGGGGGGAGGGGTTGCAGCAGCAAGTTGGTCTGCAGGGCTGCAAGAAGTGGGCCCCCCACCCATGCACCAATGGCCCAGGCTCCCTGCCAGGGTTGAGGGCTGAGAGCTGGCAGTACCCCCCCCCACTCAGCAACAGCCCTAGCACCCCTTTGGAAGTCCCCTTCTGACCTGGCCACCGCCCCTGCTTAGCATAGGAAGGGGGCGGTCTGTTCCCACAGAGGCCAGGTCGGCAGGCCAGCGAGGCCACCTCCCATGCTGGTGCCCCTGCCTGGCCAGGCGCGCGCCAGCCCCATCCTGCGTCCCTGCCTTGGGGTCAGGGTGGTCAGACCACAGGAGGCCTGTGGTATCAGGGTTCACCTCCAGCTCAGGAACACACACCACCCTGTCAGGCTCAGGACCAGGCTCTTGTTACTCGAGGGCCAGCTGCACCCCATTCCCGGCTCGATCCAGCCCCTGGTGAGCCAGTGCACGGGTGCTCACTCCCTCCCTCTCTAATTAATAAAACCCAGATTCGGGGCCAGCACTGCGGCACAGCACATTAGCTTGCCTGCCTAACCCCAACTGCTTCCCTGCCCACCCAGCTCCCTGTTGATGGTCCTGGGAAAGCAGGCAAGGAAGGCCCCAATCCCTGGGCTCCTGGACCCACGTGGGAGACCTAGAGGAAGCTCCTGGCTCCTGCTCCAGTCTGGCCCAGCTCGGGCCATTGCAGCCCTCGGGGGAGTGAACCAGCAGGTAGAAGATTTCTGTCTCTTCCTCTGTCACGTGCCGGCAGAGGCCCGGGCAGGAGCTGGGTGTGGAGCTGCCACTTAGAGGACCAGCGACCCCAGGGAGCAAGCAGGGTGCACAAGGGCTAGGCAGACCCCATGACCACCGGTGAGTTGGCTCCTTCCAAACTCCTAACGGACGGCACGGCAGCCCAGCTGGCTAATCCTCTGCCTATGGATCCCGTACACTCCACTTCCCACCAGCTCCCTGCCTGTGGCCTGGGAAAGCAGATGAGGACGGCCCAAAGCCTTGGGACCCTGCACCTGCAGGGGAAACTTGGAGGAAGCTCCTGGCTCCTGGCTTCAGATCAGCTCAGGTCTAGCTGTGTGGCTGCTTGGGGAGTGAACCAGCAGATGGAGGATCTTTCTGTCTCTCGCTCTCTGTAAATCTGCCTTTCTAATAAAAATAAATAAATCTTAAAAAACAAAACAAAAAAACAACTCCCAGCACAGTCCCGTCCGACATGGATATTCTTCAAGGTCATGGCCAGCGGCCCGCCTGCAGCACCCGTCCTCGTGGAGGCGAGCAGTGCTGTTACCTGTCGTCTGGGGTGCGGCCAAGCAGGAGGTTCTTCCACGTAAAAGCAAAGCCCTGGTAGTAGGCGACCTGTGGACGACAGACAATGCTGGCGAGGGGACGGCCAGGCCCCAGTCAGCCCCCAGCCGCTCCCTGAAAACACACGGCCCAACGCAGTAGCCCAAAAGTCCTCGCCTTGCATGTGACAGGATCCCAGTCCATGCCCAGCTGTTCCACTCCCATCCAGCTCCCTGCTGTGGCCTGGGAAAGCAGTGGAGAACGGCCTAAAGCCTTGGGACCCTGCACCCATGTGGGAGACCTGGAAGAGCTCCTGGCTCCTGGGTTTCGATCGGTTCAGCTCCGGCAGCTGCAGCTACCTGAGGGAGTGAACTAGGGGACGGAAGATTTCTCCTTCTCTTCTCTAGAAATCTGACTTTCCAATAAAAAATAAAATGAATCTTTAAAAACAAAGATAAGGCACACACCAAGAGGGAGAGGCCCAGCTGCGGCCCACAGCAGGGAGGGTGGCACGGCCACAGCCTGCCTCTGCAGGCCACAGCAGCACGCACTGATGTCCTGGTGGCCACCTCAGGGCCACGCGGGCCTCCCAAAGCCCCAAGTTCTTCAAGAACTGTCCCAGGCAGGACCGCCTCCGGGGATCGAGACCCACGGCCTGCTGAGTGGCGGTCCTTCGCACAGACCAAGCACACACAGGTGCCTGTCTGCGGCTGAGAACACGACCGCGGCAGACGCTGTGAGCTGCCACTCAGGACACCAGCTCGCGTCCCGCCTGCCCTGCCTTTCATCCAGCCCCTTACAGTGTCCCAAAGCAGCAGAGTATGTCCCAGGGGCTTGGCCCTGTGCCCACGTGGGAAACCCCACAGAAGCTCCTGGCCCAGTCCTGGCTGTTACGGCCACCAGTGGGTAGATGGGCGACCCCTCTCTCTGCGTCCTTGCCTTTCCAATAAACAAGCATTCCAACAGAATATTTCCCATGTTCCCACAGCAGCCTGGCTGCCCCGCGTGCACCCACAGAGGCCCCGGGGAAGGCCCACTCACCTCGGCCCCGATCCTGGCTCCCTGCACAGCGCCATGCCACCTGCCTTCCGCCACTCCCAGGATGCTCCCCTCTTGGTAGCCTTCCCGATACCCCTCCCCGTGGAACCTGGGATGGAGAAGCAGGGGAGGAGGGTCATTAGGCCACACAGGGGACAGCCTGCGTCTCTGGGTGGGGCAGGGAAGGGGGCAATCCTTCTCTCCTAGGTACGTCAGGGGAAGGCCATAAAACAACAGTGTCACAAGACTAAGGTTCTACCACTTCCTGGGTCTTCAGGCCCCTAATCTGCAGGAGACCCTGTGGGCCAGTAAGCGGGAGTGGGCTCCCTGAGTTCCAGACCAGGTGGGACACTGGAGACAAACCAGCAACATTTACAAGACACACACTGCGGCTGTGGCTCCACCTGCACGCAGGGATCCCACACGGGTGCTGGTTCAAGCCCCGGCTGATCCACTTCCCACCCAGCTCCCTGCTTGTGGCCTGGGAAAGCGGCAGAGGACAGCCCAAAGCCTTGGGACCTGCACCCGTGTGGGAGATCAGACGGAAAACCCTCTGGTGGGCAGCCCCTGGGAGGGGACACCCCAATCCTGTAGGAGGGTGGAAAGAAATGTGCCATCTGCATTAAACACAAGAGTGGGACTGGGGGTCACCAAGGCTCGGCTCGGGCGGAGAGGACGCTTTCCCCGAAGGGAGGCTCTGGGTTGGAAAAGAGGGGTGATCTGGGGTGTTGTTCTGGGGAACACGGGGTGGGGGTGACCCGGGTTGTAGCCATGGGGACAGGGGGCGACCCCAGGTTGTACCCATGGGGGACAGGGGGCAACCCCAGGTTGTAGCCATGGGGGACAGGGGGCGACCCCAGGTTGTAGCCATGGGGACAGGGGGCGACCCGGGTCGTAGCTATGGGGGACAGGGGGTGACCCGGGTCGTAGCCATGGGGGACAGGGGGCGACCCGGGTCGTAGCTATGGGGGACAGGGGGTGACCTGGGTCGTAGCCATGGGGAACAGGGGGCGACCCCAGGTTGTAGCCATGGGGGACAGGGGGTGACCCCAGGTTGTAGCCATGGGGGACAGGGGGCAACCCCAGGCTGTAGCCATGGCGGACAGGGGGCGACCCCAGGTTGTACCCATGGCGGACAGGGGGCAACCCCAGGTTGTAGCCATGGGGACAGGGGGCGACCCGGGTCGTAGCTATGGGGGACAGGGGGTGACCCGGGTCGTAGCCATGGGGGACAGGGGGCGACCCCAGGTTGTAGCCATGGGGGACAGGGGGTGACCTCGCCTTCTCGGGCGTCCAGCCGATCAGCCCCGCCGCAGCAGCGACAGGTGGCCGTCGGCCATCTCGCGCTCACGCCGGCCCCGCCCCAGGCCAGCCCCCCGAATGTCGGCGACGGGGAACAAGAGAAGGGGCGGCGGGCCCCAGCTGGCCCAGCCCGGTCCCCGCGGGGCCCAGCAGATGCTCGGGGCGGGGAGGAGGCGGGCCGGCCGGGGGCGAGCGCCCCACGCACCTGTCATCCGCCATCACGACGGCGTCCAGCAGGTCCTCGCTGGCCGCCATGGCCACGGCCGGACCGGAAGGACGGCGGCCGGGAAGGGCCGCACGCCCCGAGCGCCCCGACCGCGGCGCGCAGGCGCACAGCGGCGCGGGGGGCGGAGCCGGCTCCCCCTCCGCTCGCTCCGAATGGGCCGGTCCGGGCCTGTCGGACGCGTCCACGTGGGCGTGGGGGTGGAGCTGGCTCCTAATGGGATTTGTTTTTTTTTTGAGCTCAAGCCTAGGAAACCGGATCCACTGAAAGAGGTTGGAAAGCAGGGCGCGCTTAGAAAGCAGCTCTGGTGGTGGCTCCGAGCAGGGTCGCCTGGCTGCAGGTGCCTGGCCCTCTTTTCAGCCAGCAGGCAGCCCTGGGCACCAAGGGGGGCCCCTGCAGACTGAGACCTGGGCCAGCCTTGTGTGAGCTCCCTGGTCACCCTCGCGGCCTGGGACACGGGGGGCGCCCTGTTAGGTGCTCAGCCCTGCCCGGGTCAGTGCTGGGGATCCCTCCCGTGGGCCGAGAGCGTCTGCACCCCAAAGAGGAAAGAGAGGTGTAGGAGCTAGCTCCTGGCACCATGACATCACGGGCTGGCACGATGGTGTCACAGGCTGGTGTGATGATGTGGTAGGCTGGCGCCGTGACATCATGAGCTGGTGTGATGATGTCACAGGCTGGCACCATGACATCATGGGTTGGTGTGATGATGTCACAGGTTGATGTGGTGACGTCACAAGCCAGCTCGTCCCCTAATCCAGCAAGACGCCCTGGCATTGTTAAAGGGACCTGCAGAACCATGTTCTGCAGAAAATGCTGAAAAAAAAATTTCTTCAAAACCATGATTTTTTTTTTAAGAAAAAAGTGAAGACAAACTTGAAAGACAGGCAGTTGCAGACCTGCGCAGAAACCAGACTGGCAGGGCCTCCTCGGCCCAGGCTTCTGTGCTGTGGTCGGGGCCCTCTGACGGGGTCGGGGAAGCGAGTGGAGACCACGGCCACTGCCCAGCTTGCAGGCTTAGGGTCCCCGGGCTGAGGTGGGGGCACCGGAGGGAAGGCGCTGTGTGACCCACAGAAACAGGACCTGGTGCTTCTGGCCTGGCTCCTTGTCCTGTGTGTGGCTGCCCATGGGACGCTGGACTTGGGGTGAAGTGTGCGGCCCTGAAGTTCCCTGGTCTGCCTTTGTGTGTGTCCCTCACGTGCCGCGTGCCGGCTGCAGGCTGCAGGCTGCAGGGGGCACTGTCCCGATCTGCCTCCCCCACCCCTTCCAGGCTGCTGCTCGCAAACACACAGAGACCCCCGCCACCACCCAGAGCCAGTGCGAGTGAAGGACCCCCTGGGCATCTGCCAGCTCAGCGCCCACAACCTTAGGAAGGACCCTTTCCAGCCACCCGCCACCGGGCGGCACCCTTGTGCTGCGGACAGGCCACCCCCAGCCAGGCCTCCGCTGCCTCACACCGGCTGTCCTTTTATGGGGAACATTCCTGGAGCCCCATCTCTCCCCTCACACACATTTCCCTCCGGCTAACCACAAACAGCGCCTTGAAGAAGTTCCCAGAAAAGCCAGCAAGCTGTGAGTTGATCTGGATGCAAAGCATATGGAGAATGTAGGCGCGGTTGGATTCTTTCACCATCTGCATTTCCAAGCCTGCATGATCTGCCACTATTCTGGAGAGCTCAGCCAAGTCGGGCTGCAGCCCAAGACAGACCCCCCCACCCTGGGGCGTGCAGGGCTGGGCAGGCGTGCGAGGGGCCCTGCAGCTGCGGAAGGCAAGGGCCGACTAGACTCCAGGAAGCCTGCAGGGATGGGGGAAAGAAAGTTTCGGCCCCTGGTGCCTCAGGCAGCCTGCCCATTCCAGGGTGGAAGCGCGTGTGCAAGCATGGAATCCACGCACAGAGCTCTGGACCCCTCGTGCATACCAGAATGTGACTGCCTTGGAAGCAGGGCCTTGACAAAGCAGGTCTGGGTGGGCTGTGGGCCGCGCTCTCACTGCTGGCACCAAGGAGACACCGTGGGAAGGCACACATGAGCAGCTGGGAGGAGACGGTGCCCGCGAGCCCGCACGCCCGCGAGCCGGCGAGCCGGCGAGCTGGCGAGCCCGCAAGCCAAAGAGCCTGCGAGAGGTCCCTGGAGCAGCCGGCCCAGGTGGGGACGGCCAGGAAAGCTCTCTGTGGCTGCAGCTGTGGCCCCGGGGGGAGTGGGGTGTGCTCAGGACCATGTCCATATTGGACAGACAGCCAATATGGCCCGTGGGGCGTACCTCTGTGGGATGTACCTCCGTGGGGCGTACCTTCGTGAAATGTACCTCTATGAGGTGTGCCTCCGTGGAATGTACCTCCGTGGGGCGTACCTTCATGGAATGTACCTCTGTGAGGTGAGGTGTGCCTCCGTGGGTTGTACCTCTGTGGGGCGTACTTCCGTGGGTTGTACCTCCGTGGGGCGTACCTCTGTGACATGTACCTCCGTGGGATGTGTCTCCTTTGGTTGTACCTCCGTGGGGTGTGTCTCCATGGGGTGTACCTCCACAAGTGTACCTCCATGGGCATACATCCGTTGATTGTACCTGCGTGGGGCGTACCTCCGTGGGGCGTACCTCCGTGGGATGTACCTCTGTGGGGTGTGCATCTTCACAGGCAGCTGTTTGCTCATGCGCTGCTCCATGGTGGCCGCTGGCTACCCGGGTACCCCAAAGCAGAGCAGGGCAGCTTCTGTTCTTGACCCCAGAACCTGCCACCAGCATTGGCCCTTCCCCTAAGAATGTCAGCCCCTCCCTCTCAGCTTCCCTCAGCCATCAGCAGGGAGCAGTGGAGAGGGGCGGACCAGCCAGCACTCGTACCCTTTGCCCGAAGGCACGTGACCACCAGACCGCGGTTTAACCCCAGCCACAGCCCTGGTCCCAGCGAATGGCTTTTTCTTTCTTGTATTTTACTTCAAAGAGTAACAGAGAGAGGAGACAGAGCGAATGCTGTTCCTCCGCTGTTGTGCAGTCCCGCAATGGCCAGAGCTAGGCTGGTCTGAAGCACCCGTATGGGACACTGGGACTCTGGGGATTAGCCTCACCTGCCACCACGCTGACCCCAGGCACATCAGCACTGGAGCAGTCAGGACTTGAACTGGCATTCCGATGTGGAGTGCTTGTGGTGTACGTGGTGTTGTATGTGTCGGGATAGCCTGCTGTGCCACGCGGGCTCCAGCGGATGGCTGGGCTGGCCCACAGCCGGTGCACTCACATGCCACTGCAGGGCACTGCTCTGTTTGGCCTCTGCCGTAAGCATCCCTAACAGGATGCAAATGTTAAGTAAACAGCTGCCAGACAGCATTGTTTCCAGAGCAGGGCCATACTGACTTGTTCGGTTTTGATACAACTTTACCCCAAGCCTTTTTCGCTCTGCTGCTGGTAGAATCCACTGGTGTGGGGTCCACGGCCACGGAGAGCCACATGGTCCTGAGCACACCCCGCTCCCCCCGGGGCGACAGCTGCAGCCACAGAGAGCTTTCCTGGCCGTCCCCACCTGGGCCGGCTGCTCCAGGGACCTCTCGCAGGCTCTTTGGCTTGCGGGCTCGCCAGCTCGCCGGCTCGCCGGCTCGCGGGCGTGCGGGCTCGCGGGCACCGTCTCCTCCCAGCTGCTCATGTGTGCCTTCCCACGGTGTCTCCTTGGTGCCAGCAGTGAGAGCGCGGCCCACAGCCCACCCAGACCTGCTTTGTCAAGGCCCTGCTTCCAAGGCAGTCACATTCTGGTATGCACGAGGGGTCCAGAGCTCTGTGCGTGGATTCCATGCTTGCACACGCGCTTCCACACTGGAACACACGCACACACACACATATACACTATGCCCACACATGTACGCCCGTACATACTTGTATGTTGCAAGGATTTCAAACACAGAAACTGACTGTACTCATAGCTGATGGGCTTACTGCCTCCTCAGTCACAAGCTCTGGCTCGCCGCGAGCCCGGTCCACCGGAGCGGGCGTCATGGCGGGCAGGCATCAGGTCAGTCTGTAAGGTCTATACTGGGAGTTCCCCCACCCCCCGCATGACACTCCCAAGCCCCAGGCAAGCCCCTGGGCCTCTGGCTCACAGCGGTGGCTCATCTGGACGTGGGATCTCCTCTGGATGCCGCGGGCTCGCTGGCAGCACCGCTAGGACCTGCTCTCTGCTGCTGCAGCCGCCTGCCTCCGTGCAAACACCCGCTCCAAGCCTGCACTTCTCTGACAGAACTGCGTCTGAAGCAGCCCAGGGTTGCCCTCCGCCCAGCATATGAACAGCGTGGATTCAGCATGCCCATTTGTAGGGGCCCAATGTGCTGACACGGAGAGCTCAGCTTCTTTGTGCTACGCTGGCAGTGCAGTGCGTCCGGGTTCGAGGCCTGGCTGCCCCGCTTCTGCTCCAGCTCCGGGCTAACACACTGAGACAACCACATACAGTGGCCTCTGCACTCACTTGGGAGACCCGGATGCGGTCCAACTTGTGCCGGCTTCAGTTGGGCCGGCCCATCCGCTGTGGTCCTTGGGGAGCCACCCCAGGACGCACTCTTCCGTTCTCTCCCTCTCGTCTCTAGGACTCTGCGTTTCAAATAGGTAAATGACTACTACCACGTCTTGGGGTACTTTACTTTTCAACTAAGTAAATCTCACAAGTGTCCGCTCCAGCTGTGGGCGTCGGGTAGAGAGTGGAGGAGTGCTCGGCCTCCATCTCCGGCCCCAAGTGAGACACCTTGATCTCCAAGACAACCAAGCTGTAGCCAGATTCCTCTGCATCTGAAACAACTATGGGCCAAGCTGCCGGCTCTGGCTGGCACAACCGCCGTCCTCTCGGGCTCCAGCAGGAACCCTGCAACCCGTTGCTGGTGATGGGTACTGCACTGACAGCCAGGTGGGCATGCAGGGTGCAAGGCGGGAGGGAGGTACCGGTGGAGGTGAGGGGACCCAGAGGGTGAGCCAGGGGCTACCCTGATGGGAACTGGGCAAGGCAAATTTCACTTAGTGGAAGGCATCTGTGCCTGTCCAGTCATCGCGGTGGCTGACCAGTCATCGTGGTGGCTGTCCAGGTCATCGCGGTGGCTGTCC